GTCTACGCGGAAGAAGTTATTAAAAAAGCTCTTATGAACGAAAAAGCCGGAGTAAAGATCAACGGTCACCCCATTTGCAATATCCGATATGCTGATGATACCGCGCTCATAGCAGAAAATATTGACGACCTACAGAGATTACTAAACAAAGTGGTAGAAGCAAGTGAAGAATTTGGTCTGTCACTGAATACAAAGAAGACCAAATTCATGATAATTACAAAGAAACGTATCAATAATATCAACTGACATGTAGGACAGAATCTCATTGAACGAGTACAAAATTACAATTACCTCGGAACAAATATTAACGAGTCAAACGAATACACCAGAGAAATAAGAATAAGAATAGAGAAAGCCCGCAGTGCCTTTAACAATATGAAACAAATGTTGTGTAGCCGAAACCTAAGCCTAAAGCTGAAAATACGAATACTTAAATGTTATGTTTTCTCGGTCCTGTTATATGGAGTGGAGGCGTGGACACTAAATAAGCAATATATGGGTAAGCTGGAGGCATTTGAGGTGTGGGCGTACCGAAGAATGTTAAAAATCTCCGGGAAGGATAAGATAACTAACCAAGTTGTATTAGACAGGATGAACAACCAAAGGAGGTCGTATTGAGTGTTAAAATGAGGAAACTACAATATCTGGGACATATTACAAGTGGGAATAATTATCAACTGTTACAACTAATTATGCAAGGAAAGATTGAAGGTAGGCGCAGCATAGGTAGGAGAAGAATGTCATGGTTGAGAAACCTCAGGGAGTGGTTTGCTTGCACTTCCATACAATTGTTCCGAGCGGCAGCCTCCAGGGTCAAAATTGCCATGATGATCGCCAACCTTCGTAGCGGAGATGGCACGTGAAGAAGAAGAAGAAGAAGCTATACGGAGTGGAAACATGGACTTTCGGAGTTACAAGTATGAGGCGTATAGACACCTTTGAGATTTGGTTCTTCGAAGGATGCTGAAGATCTCTTGGACAGAGTACGTGACCAACAACGAGGTGCTAAGAAGAATGGGTATTGAGAGAGAACTCCTAAATATTGTAAAAAACAGACAAACGAGTTATCTAGGACACATTTACAGAGGAGAAAAATACAACTTCCTACGACTTATAATGGAAGGGAAAGTGGAAGGAAAAAGACGTCCAGGAAGAAGAAAATGCTCATGGTTGAAGAATGTAAGAGACTGGACAGTGGGGTGGGTCAAAAAAATATTTTTTTTATTTGTCAGTTCTAATAGTGATAAAATGATGTTACCTGTTGTTTTAAAATCTTCTATAAAATTTGGAAACAATTGGATATCATTATCTGCCTCCGGAGCGACGTTCAATATTTAAAAAATTGGGAAAGACAGTGTACTAATAAAAAAGTGAGAGAAAAAAATGTTATACTATCCGTCAGTTCTAATAGTGATAAAACGATGGTACCTGTTGATTTATAACCCCTATAAAATTTTGTAATAATTGAATACTATCATCTGCCTCCGGGACAACATTCAGTATTGTTGTAAAATTTGTTTCAAGGCGTTTTATACAGCTTTTAATTTTTCTCCACTACACTTTGTATAGATCTGTGCAAAGTTAAGACCTTGGAGAGCATTCCCAAAACCAAACAAAAGTGATGTTTTGTTCACAACTGTACTGAAATGAATGCATAATGCATCAGCGCGAGACTCTTCCTCTCTCAACCTCCCTCCATCGTCGTCTTGAAATTTAGACAGCATTTGCTTTGTGTTCGGTCGTCAACGCAGTCAGTGAGTTAGTGTAGCTGCTGCTTATTAGAGGAGTCGTTGTTTTATGTATATCTTTTTTCGTTTTCGCTTAAATGGAACGTACTAGAATGGAGCGTTAGAAACTCCTTTGTTTGGTGCAATCGGTGAGATGAAACACAATACGCTTCCTACTTATGAAGACGTGATGAAATTTTACTACCGGACAAGATATCAACTGAAATCGAAGAAAGGTACTAAAAAAGAGTCAGTTTTTTGTGAAATAGCAGACATTGTGACAATAATAATTCGAAAAAGATGGGCAAAAACAAATAACAATGGGCAAAAACGTATCAATTAAAGTGCCAGAACATACTTAAATCACATCCTAATGTTCCAACGAATTAGTTAGAAGATTTTCGTCACAACAGCAAAGTTCTATTTGATATTTAGTGCTGTAAATGCAAGGAACTCAATAATTGTACCCGTTCTAGAGACACAAAAGTACCATTAAAAGAGTTGAACTTTTTAATCGATCAAAGTACTAAACGAAATATGATAATTGGAAACTTGGATATCGTTGCTACAAAACAAATGCAAAAAACTGTGAAGAGAAAAGCGACAAATGAAAAAGCCTTGTCTAAAAAGAAAAAAAAGCATATATGAGCCCGGAACTTCCTACCAGTCTACACTCGATGTTTCAACGTCATCTTCAGATGAATCTGTGTATTCTGATTTTAAACCCACTTCTGTAAATATTGCGACTCCATTACAATTATTTAAGAAAAAAACTGCAAAAACTATTCATTATTCTACATTATCTAAAACTTGTGACCGATATGGGGTGTCTGATAGGGCAGCGGCTGCCATTGCTTCAGCAGTTTTGCATGACACCAAATCTAATGTGCCAGTGATTGATAAGAGCAAGTTACGAAGGGAAAGAAAGAAAACTAGAAAAAATCTTATATCGCAGGAGAAAATTTCACAAGTACATGCGCTATACTTCGATGGACGAAAAGATAAAACGTATGTAATCAGAAAACAAGGAGGCAAAAACTAACGAGACGTTATTCAAGACGAGCATATTTCGCTTATAAAAGAACCAGATTCCCAGTTCTTGGGTTATATTGTTCCATCTTCTGGTACGTCCAAAGCGATAGAAAATTCTTTAGCTAATTATTTTCGAATGGAGGAAATGTCTGTTGACGATTTAATAGCTGTTGGTTGTGATGGAACAAACGTAAACACTGGAAAAAATGGTGGCATTGTAAGTTTACTTGAAACGCGGTTAAATAAACCCTTACCGTGGATAATTTGTTTGTTGCATATGAACGAGTTGCCACTTCGACATTTGTTTCAATTTATTGACGGCACTACAGCGGGACCACAGACTTTTTCAGGTACAATAGGGAAGGCTTTAGAAACTTGTACAAAAATCCTATTGTTGAATTTCAAAAAATTAGTGGTAATTTACCCTCAGTAACAGTGAAAGATTTAAGTACTGTTCAATTATATCTACATAGAATTGTGTCTGCGATTATGACTGGAAAATTTCCGGAACACTTGGCCAATAAATCACCAGGAAAAATGTCCCATGCAAGATGGTTGACTCGTGCTAATCGCATCCTTCGTCTATATGCTTCGACAAAGGTTCCTTCAGAAAACCTAGTTATTTTAGCCACTTATATTGTGAAAGTTTATGCTCCAACTTGGTTTCGTATTAAGACTCATCCTACATGTAAAGATGGAGCAGGACACTTATGGGCCTTAATTTCAATGTCAAGATACCTCTCACCTGAACTGAAAGCCATAATTGATCCTGTGATACAAAGAAATAGTTATTTCGCGCATCCGGAAAATTTATTATTGGCAATGTTAACTGATCATCAAAAGCATATTAGGGAAGTAGCTGCACGTCGTATTTTGAAGGCTCGTAAAGTAAAACACAACATATTCAGGTTATTCGAAGTTCCAACTATAAACTTTGATGCACAATGTTATTATGATCTAATTGACTGGCAACAAGAAATACCTGAACCCCCACTACTAAGAAAAGTATCTGATGACAGTCTTAATTCCTTCATTGCAAAAGCAGGGGAAAGTGAATTGTCTTTTTACGTCTACCTTGCCACACTCAAGCAGTAGAGAGAGTTGTGAAGACTGTAACAGAAGCATTTACTACGTTGTGTACAAAATCGGAACGAGAAGGCTTAATTAAGGCGAAGTTGGAGTCTCGCAGAGTAATGCCGCAGTTTGATAGCAAAAAGGATTTTGCTACTATTTAGTTATAGTATCTCTTTGAATATCTGTCTTGTTTTTGTATTAATACACACATTTTCTTTGAAATTTTGGTTTTAATTGTTTACTCCGTTTTTGTTAATATTATGAAAGTTTAATGTCAAACCGGAGGCAGAATATAACATCGAACAACTAAAAACTTTTAAAGGTGAGTTTTAGGTACAACACCGTGCCATTTTAGCACTATTAGAAGTTGATAACTTTCACATATATTTTTTTACGCGTTTACGATAAATGAATGATTTTTCACATAATTCTGATATTTCAAGGTCAATCCGGAGGCAGAAGATAATTTTCAATTAAAATAAATTTTTCACTGTCAAACTAGCATTACATTTAGCACTCTTTTATAAGTATTACAAAACAATATTACACACAATTTTTTCCCATATACAAGTGACCCATCCTACTGGACAGGTATGGACACACATTCGATACTAATAACAGCTTAAGATAAAGAGCAATTTGTTGTAGATATAGCCAACCTTCAGTAATGGAGAGGGCACCTTAAGAAGAAGACACTTTAGAAAGGTCTACACTGATTTATAAGATACTGAACAGACGGAAAGTTCGGAAGAAGAATCGTTTTTTGAAGGTACTGGGGAAGAACGTTCATGGTTGATGCCGGCACACTCAGTTTTTTGTATGATGTCTCGCAAATAAAATATTTTTTTGTCTTCTCTTGATTTTTCCGCTGGAAATATGTCAACGTACAACTGAAAACCGATTTATACGGCTGAGTTAAAACAACTCGACACAATTCGAGTTAAAACAAAATGATTAATTTGAAACATTAGATTTCAATGTCCATGAAAACTGGTTTTGCGGACTCAGATTGTTTTCCCCCTAACTCCTCAATCATATAAAACCATGCAAATACTAATACTACTACAAGGAAAAATATAATAAAACATAACAATATAATCAATATAACATACAAAATTAAAAATATGTTCTGAATATCTCTACATCTTCAAAAACAAAATTTCTGGATCAATTATCTAACAGTTCTACGTGTTCTGGTACGTTTGCGGCTCTAGAATTATTGTTTTTAAATAAAACGTAACCAATAAGTAAAGCTATCAGACATAGCAGTATTATAAACACAGTATTAATAGAAAGAACTGCTACCATTTTGTTATATCCATTAGTTTCAGTGTTAATTATTTTTTCGGGATACAAAATATTTGTTTTTGTCTCCTGAGAATGACTTAATTTATCTATATATCTATACAATTTTGCATTCTCTTCATTGTCTACGTTAACGAATTTTTTCTGATTTTCTATAAATTCCCTAAAATAATTAGTGAAGTTTTGGGTATTTTTGATACTGTCTTCTAAATATTTGTCAGTTAATGATTTATCTGCACTTACGTTTTTGGAATATCCCACATTTTTTGCTTTTTCTGAAGAATAGATGTGTTCAAGCACCTTGTACAAACTGCTATTTTTTATTTCATCAAAATAATCTTTCAGAGTGTCGTTATCCATTTTATTAAGAGTTTTTGGTACGGTGGCAATCTTTGGTGTCTCTAAACAAGAGATTCCATGGACGTTGGTGCTATTTCTTAAATTATTGTGTAATATTTCAACTTTGGAAGATTTTAGGTGTCGAACAACATTAACAACATTGTTACAAGATAGATTATTGTTATCAAAAAATATTTGCTTCAGTTTTGGAAAATATGTTTTAAGTTGATCAAAATTTATATTTTGAATACGATTATTTTGTATAAACAGTTGTTCTAGATTATTCAAAGGATGCAAAGAGGTACTTATAGTACGTAAATTGTTATTGGAAATATCAAGATAACTTAAAGTATCTAAGCTGTCAAATGTACCGAACTTAAAATCTTCTAAATTATTATATGAAATATTCAGGTAGTGTAAATTTGACATGTTGTAGAACACTCCCGGTGACAGTGAACTCAGATTATTATGGTTTAAGTTTAGATATTGCAACGTAAAAGCTTCTCCGAAATAAAAGTCATCTATGCTACTAATATTATTATAACTGACATCGAAGGAACCTAACTTATTGCTTTTTGAAATACAAAATTTTGAGGAAAGATTTTTTAAATGGTTATTTTTTAAACTAAGGGTAGTAAACGGATGTGGACAAAAATTTAGCTCATCCAGCTTATTATTATTTAAAAATAGACTCTTTATCGTAATTTTTATATCTACTGTTAGGTCTGTTATTCTGTTAAAATCTAAATATAGTGCATCCATTGGGTGAATATTAGGATCTAAAACGTTATAGGAAAATGTGATTAAATTATTGTGTGACAAATTTAGAGTTTTTAAATTTGACATCCCACTAAAGGACTGTGCTTCCAACTTTGATATTTGATTAAGCGATAAATCTAGAGTTTGTAGATTATCCAACGAATTAAAAACACCTAAGCCGATCTCAGATAAACGATTATTTGACAGATAAATTGCAACTAATGACCGTTGAACAAACGCACCAGGAGAAAGTTTTGAAATATTTAAATTGCTTAATATAAGTTCGGAAATAGTTTTAGCATTTACAAAAGATGATGGGGGTATTTCAGAGAGATTTGAAGACAAAATTGTAAGTGTTTGCTTGCAGTTATTACAAGAACCCTTCACGATATAATGTAAAGGTAATTTGACATTTTTGCAGGTTATGTCTAGTCCAGTGACAGTTTCCTCCCTTTGCTCAGGAATAAATGTGTTTCTCCATGGTCGCTCCGGATCTTTCCCGTAATGCGCCGGTGTCAAATGTATCGTTTTGTTGTATTCTTCCTTGCAGTCTTCCGTACATATAATTTCCGTACAATAAAAGTAGATCATAACGTAAAGGAAAAGCCACTTCCTAAAAATAAAATAAAATTTCGTCAATCACAATTTTTGACAAATGCTAAAAAATATATAATTACAAATATACACACATATCGCACACCTAGATCTAAACTGAGACAAGTCAAAAATGGTAATTTTTCAGTAAAAAAAAAAACGTATTACTGCATTTTTTGTTAGGGAAGTTATAACATAAAATTTAATTTAGATCAGCCGTACTCAAACTGTGGTACGCGTACCACTGGTGGTACGCAAAGAACTTTAAGGTGGTACTCTATAAACTAGAAGAAACGAAGAATTTTAATCAAATTTATTAACGAATGTTATCTTTTACGTGGTGCATGGTAACGCTGCGAGTTGGAAACACAAGCGCGTAATGTCTTATTCATTGTTGGCAACACTGTAATCCCGGCAAACTGCCACCGCCCTTGATTCACGTCATCAGTGGTCATTAGTTTCCTCGTGGCCGTCAGTCGTTGTGGTTAATTTTGTCGAAACGAGTAATTTGCTGTTACTGATTCGTGCTAATTTTTGCATATAAAAAATGGATAAGTGGCTTAAAAGAGACAACAGAACATCTGAAAATCCCGGTCTATCGAGCTCCACTTCAGAGTCGGAGCCTATCCAAGGTGATGACAAAAAGAATTATTTCAAAAAACTAAAAGTGAGCCAAGGCCCCAATGTGTAATCTGTTCGGAAATTCTTTCTAACCAGTGTATGAAACCTTCGCTTTTAAAACGCCACTTCAGTACACAACATTCAGTGTTGGAAAATAAACCTAAGGATTACTTCGTTCGGAAGTTAACGGAGATTAGAGGCACAAAAAAATTAATGTCGAATTTCACCGGCAGCAACCAAAAAGCAGTAGAGGCATCCTTCCTCGTGAGTTTAAGAATTGCGAAGTGTGGAAAAGCGCATACAATCGGCGAAGAACTAGTTCTGCCTGCCGCACAAGATATGGTAACGTGTATTTTTGGAGAGAATTCAGGTAAACAGCATAGTATTATACCATTATCCAATGATACCGTACGTCATAGGATTGAAATAATGGCATTAAATGTTAAAGAGAAATTGATAAACCGGATAAAAAATAGTATTTTTTTGCAATACAACTTGATGAGAGCACAGATATTACAAACTATGCTCAGCTTATGGTTTATGTGCGCTATATATTTCAAACCAAAATCGAAGAAGAGTACTTATTTTGTGAGGCGTTAACGGAACGAACTACTGCCGATGAAATATTCAAGAAAATCAATGATTTTTTTGTGGAAAATGGACTAGACTGGAAACAATACGTTGGTTTCTGTTCGGATGGTGCCCGAGCCATGACAGGATAATACGGAGGTGTAACTGCCAAAGTAAAACTGGTTGCAGAAAATTGTACTTTTACCCATTGTAGTATCCACAAAGAAGCTTTGGTAGCAAAGCGAATGCCCGATGAATTTAAACATGTTCTCCATGAAGCCGTTCAGATAGTCAATTTCATAAAATCTCGAGCCTTAAACTCGTGTTTATTTTTAAAACTATGCTCTGAAATGGAAAGTGATCATATTCAGTTATTGCTACACACGGAGATAAGATGGCTATCAAAAGGAAAAATGTTGAACAGGTTATTCGAGTTGCGTTCTGAAGTACATGTGTTTTTAATGAAATCCAATTTTGAACTGCGTAATCAGTTATTAGATGAATTGTGGCTTACAACACTAGCTTGCTTAACAGATATATTTAATCGATTAAATGACCTAAACTTAAGCTTACAAGGGAAATCACATAATCGATTTTCTGTAAACGACAAAATAAATGCTTTTATCAAGAAATGTTATATGATGAAAAATAGTGTTTCAAACAAAGACTTGCAGTCGTTTACCAATTTAGAAAATTTTGTGGTTGAGCATGAAATAAAGATCAAAGATGATCTTATTTTTAACATAAAACAGCATTGTCAAATGCTAATTGATAGTTTTAAAGAATATTTTGACGAAGACTATGCTTAGTTTCTTTGGATACGACAACCATTTATTTTAGATAGCATTCCTGAATCATTAAAACGGGATGAAAAAGAATCTTTAATAGAACTATCTTGTGATGGAGGATTGAAAATAGAGTTTTCTAAATTAGAATTAGCTGAATTCTGGCTAAATATTAAAAATGAATATCCAGCCTTATCAGAAAAAGCATTGTTATTTTTACTTCCTTTTACGACAACCTACCTGTGTGAAACTGGATTTTCTGCTATGCTACAACTGAAAAATAAATTTCGCAGTAGGCTTAATGTTGATCCGAATTTACGAATGAAACTAAGCACAATTGATCCTGATATCGATTCACTTGTTGTAGCTATGCAGAACCATCCTTCTCACTGAATTTTTGGATTGGGTCAGACTGTAAGTTTTATTTTGTAACATTTATAATGCCCTTTTTTAAATAAATACATTTTTGCCAAAATTAGTAAATTTTATTATCTACTTTTTTAATAGGTGGTACGCGATTGACGCAGAATTTATGTAAGTGGTACGTGTAAAAAAAAAGTTTGAAAATCGCTGATTTAGATAATAAATAGTTTGTAGAATATTCCCATAATTTAAACTACAGCTAAAAATCAAAATGTTTACCGATAATCGCTATTTTTAAGTTGTTTCATTTTAGAATGGTCTTCTTTTTTAAGTGCCCTCTTCGCTACGGAGTTTGGCATTCATCATTGCTATTCGTATCTTTGAAGCTGTTGCTTTAAATAATTGGTTAGATGTGCACTGGAACCAGTCTCTTAAATTGCGCAGCCAAGATATACGTCGTCTTCCCACGCTTCGTTTGCCCTGAATCTTTCCTTGGATAATTAACTGGAGCAATCGGTACTTTTTCCTTCTCATCACATGAGCAAGATATTCCAGCTTTCTTCTCTTGATGGTGATCAATAGCTCCTGTTTTTTGTTCGTTTTTCGAAGAACTACACTATTTGTTATTTTTTTCAAGTTATTTTTAAAATTCTTCTATATATCTACATTTCGAAGGCCTCCAGTTTATCGATATTGCTCTTGTTTAAAGTCCAAGTCTCTTCTCCGTACAGCAGTATCAAAAAGATGTAGCATCTAACCAATCTCATTTTCAGGTTAAGGATAAATGTCCTGACTTCCCAGAATGTCCTTCATATTAACAAAAGCAGCTCGAGCCTTTCCAATTCTAGTTTTTATTTCTTCTTTGATGACATTGTTGTTATTAACACTTGTTCCCAAGTACTTATACATGTGTACCCGTTTGATTTCGTTATTGTGAATGTACAGGTTTGCATTAAATCTTTGTTTTTTTTTAAATAGTCATGAATTTCATCTTCTTGACATTCACTGTTAACCCTTTCTCTTCACTAGCTATGACTACTTGTTTAAAATGGCTTGCAGGTCTTCTACTGTCTCCGCCATTAAAACTGTATCATCTGCGTATCTAATATTAAATTCCACTAGGAAACTAAGTTCCTGTAGCTGGCTGTATACCATATATCACAAAAAATTGTTTAAAATCCTTTATAAAAGGTATATAAAAAATGCCCCAAACGGGCTATCACAAACACATTGCAAAACGTTTTCGGATTAATAAATCCATCATCAGTGCAAACGGTTGTACATGCTAGTAGCCACCAAAATATATGGGTCAAAACCCTTTAAATGTTTTAAATTTGTAGTTGATTTACATTATTAATAGTTATAATTTGTGATGTTTAAGTTACCGTTGGATAGGTAACATGGCGGCGTATGACTCTACATAAGTAAAATGGTCCTGAGACAGACGAACAACTCGATGTTAACAACATCGTTATCGACTAACAACTGTTATCTACTAACGATAACAGTTGTTATCAACAGGTCCTCGTAGACACTTCGTCTCAGGACCATTTTACTTATGTAGAGTCATACGCCGCCATGTTACCTATCCAACGGTAACTTAAACATTACAAATTATAACTATTAATAATGTAAAACAACTACAAATTTAAAAAATTTAAAGGGTTTTGACCCATATATTTTGGCTACTAGCATGTACAACCGTTTGCACTGATGATGGATTTATTCAATCTCTTCTTTCTCCAATGCTTTCTTCATAATTTCTTTCGAATAGAGATTAAATAGCATTGGTGACAGAACACATCCTTGTCTAACTCCTTTTTAATGTGAATTTTATTTGTTGTACCATTTTCGATGCGTGCAACTGGCTTCTGTTTATAATACAGAGTAGATATTATTCTTCTATCGCGAATGTATAACTGTTTAGCTTTCAAGATTTTTAAAATTTGTAAATGCTTGACGTTATCAAACGCCTTGTTGTAATCAATGAAACAAGCAAATACATATTGATTTACATCCAAACACCTCTGTATCATGATGTTAAAGGTAAATAATGCTTCGCGAGTTTCATATCCCACCCGGAATCCAAACTGAGTTTCTCCGACATCTTCTTCCAATTTTCTGTAAATTCTATTGTAAATTATTTTGAGGAATACTGCACTGCTTAGAATGTGCCTTCTTGGGAAGAGGAACAAAGGTTGATCTTAGCCATTCTTCAGGAATTATACTATTTTAATAAATCTTGTTAAATAAGTCTACTAACAAATGGATTCGATCTTCGTCTATCAACTTCAGTATATCCGCTGGTAGCTCTGTCTGGTCCTGTAGCTTTGCTATTCTTTGATGACTTCACCGCTTGCATTACTTCTTCTTTACTTATTTCTGAACCTGTCTCCTCTGGAAAATTATCACAAGGAGGCTGCCTTTGATCGTCAAACTGTTCTTCTATGTATGTCTGCTAATGTTTTAGTTTCTTCTCTGTTTCCATTATCATGTTCCCTAGTTGATCTATAAGTACTGCCTGCTTCCTGTTTCTATTGTTGGTCATTTCTTTAACTTTCTGGTAAAGATAGATCGAATCATATTTGGCTTCCTGGTTTAATACATCGACAACCGGCCTATTCAGAATAGCAGCAAGCAAAGTTAGGATAGCCATGTTGATCGCCAACATCCGGAACCC